GCGGTTGGCGCAGGATAGAGCAGGGTTTAGGGCTGTTGTGCATAGGGTCGCTATGAGTCGGAAACGACTCGACGGCACATAACAACAACAACAGTAGGGATCTAAAAAGATAGGGGACATGGAGCATAGATCAGTGGGGATTAATTTCATTAAACACAGTGTATGGAAATGATTGTATGAAATACAATGTCAATGAAGGAATGTGTAAAATAAAAAGCACATAAATGAAACACAATGTATACAAATTTTGTATGCAAACCAATATAAAATTTAAAAGAACAAGGCCAGGGGCTGACTGTAGAACAAACCATTAATTTCTTACATGCAAGTTCAAACTGAAGGTGAACAAAATTAAAACAAGTCTCTGGGAACCGAAACACAACCTTAAGACTATCCCACTTAAATTTAAAAACCAATTCAAGAATAAGTTCAAAGCTTTGAACACTAATTGTCGAAGACCAGATCAGTTGTGGAATGATATCAAGGACACCATCTATGAAGCAAACAAAAGGTCATTACAAAGACAGGGAATCAAGAAAAAGAATGTTAGAAGAGACTTTGAAGATTGCACTGGAATGAAAATAAACCAAAACACAGGAAAAGAATCCTGAAATAAGATTGAAACAGGAGATTTCAAGGGCAGCTCTAGAAGACAAGAAATGTGCAAATAGTTTGTATTAGAAAACCAAAAGTGGATAACATGTTCATATTTCTCAAGCTGAAAAATTGAATAGCAAATATGGTTGCAATACTGATGGATTTTATGGGCAAAATATTGAATGATGCAGGAAGCAGCAAAAGAAAATGGAAAGAATATATATACAGTTACAGTACCAAAAAGAATTGGTACACTCAATCTTTCCAGAAAGTAGGATATGATCAAAGACTAATGGCAATGAAGGAAGACTTGAGGACCTTGGCAAAAAACAGGGTCCCATGAACTGATAGAATACCACCTGAAGTGTTAGCCATGGACATGCTCACTAGTCTATGCCCAGTAATTCGAAAACAGTTAAAAAGGTGATCTAAAAGAATTATTTAACATATCATTAATATCATATGAAAGTAAAAGCTTGTTGAAGATTATTAAAAAACTACTAGAACTTCCAGAAATGCAAGCATGATTTGGAAGAGGTTGTGGCACAAGGGATATCATTGCTGATGTCAGATGGATTTTGGCTGCAAGCAGAGAATATCATAAAGATGTTTACTTGTGTTTTAGTGACTATACAAAAGTGTTTGACACCATGGATCATAATAAATTAATGTATAACATCCCTTTCTCAAAGTTAGCCACAATTTGTTATGATCCACATAGTCAAATTTTTCAGTCAATGAAACATAGACACTCCTCTGATATTCTCTGCTTTCAGCCTAAATTCATCTGACATTGGCAATAACGTCTCTGTTGCCATGGTTTCTTCTAAATCCACCTTGTATTTCTGGTAGTTCTCTGTCATTTTTTATATATATATAATCTTCAGTAGGATTTTGTTTGTGTGTGATACTAGTGATATTTGATAATTTCTACACTCTGTTCACCTTTTTTGGTGTAAGTATAGATCTCTTCCAGTTGGTTGGCAAGGTAGTCATCCTGCAGATTTCTTGGCACAACCTTGTAAGCATATCCAGGACAGCATGTTTGTTGAAATATGTCAGTTGTTATTTCATCAATTCCTGGGGTTTTAATTGCTCCCCCAAATCCTTCAGAGCAGCTTGAACTTCCTCCTTCATCACCATTGGCTCTTGACTATATGTTTTGATTCATATGATCTAGTATCTAGGAGAGGAAAAGATGAGGAAAAACTGGGTCACATTCATATAGGTAAAAAGGTCATTTCTAGATCCATCTTGAAATAAAATGTTGTATGAGACAGGATAATATCCATATGCATACAAGGAAGTC